TTGGAAGGGAGAGATAAGGTTTTTGGCCGATGCTAGTGGCCTTTGATTGAAGAGTAGGGTTTTAGTCGAAACCATAGACCCTTCAGCCTTAGGTTGAAGATGCATAACCTCACGTCATGATTGCCACAACCAAAAAATCCTTTTCCATGTCCAAGCCAATCGCCAGTCATATGAACCCGTGTCTAAGACCTCCGGACGAGCTAGTGGTGACAACCATCCCGTGAACTCTAGCATTTAGAGGTTACCGCCATGGTATTGAGACAATAGGGCCGAGAGGTTATGATTGTGCACATCTTTTACACCAAAAAGGTCACGACCCCACTGGTCTTAAGAGTGAGTGATCTATTCTTATTTACTTACCATTTCATACCTCGGTGCGGACCTTTTTTTCCTTTCCATCTGTTCCTCAGACTTGAATTCCATGCATGGTTAGTTGTGGTCGATAAGTGGTTTTGTTGAGACTTGCATTTATCCATGAATAAGTTAAGAACTTTTCATTTGCCCATTTTGGTGGCTTCGAATGTCCTTTGTGGTGGATGTCGGTATTGCTTGTAACAATTCATGTGTTGATTGTCAATAAAAATCGAGAATTCTTGTTTCGTGCCCTTTGAGTTGTCCCCAAAGTATTTGTGTAGGTTGAAATATTACCGTGTCCGTGGAATGGTTTGCTTGGGGACAAGCCAACGTCTAAGTGTGGGGGAGTGATTCGGGCCTAATTGCACATGTTTTGCCCCCGTTTTACTTAGATGTTTGTGCCAAATTCGCTCCTAGAAGGTTGGTTTTACGCTAGGTTCATCGTGTTTGAGTGTGTTTCAGGATTTAACAGGTGAAACCAGCCTCGAAGTCGAAAGATTGGCGAAAAGGATCAAAAACTGGGAGAAGAGGTGTAAAAGAGCCAGTTCACGGCTAACTGAGGGAGTTCACGGTTATGCAAGACCATGAAGAAGAGGAGTTGACCGTGAATCGCGAGGCGTCCAGAGCCAATGTGAAGGTTACTGATGCAAGGTGAGTTCACGGTCACTAAGACCGTGAACAAAGGCAGTTGACCGTGAACTGAAGTGGACGATGCAGTGCGTTTTGGCGCACGCCTGGAGTTCACGGACGCGCTTCATGGTTCACGACCGTGAACTCGGCTCATCTCGGGTTTAAAAGATGAGTTGAAAGGAGGAGAGAGGGGAGAGCCCACTTTTGTGTGAAACACCTTCTTCAGCATTCTAGTGAGAGAAATAGAACCAAAGGGAAGAAGAAGGTTAGGGTTTGACTTCAAGGAAGATTTTGGGTAGATTTCCTCCAAGGAATGCTCAACTCAAGGGCCAGGAAGGCTGGGAGCATCCTCAAAGATGGTTTCCACCTTTTTCCCTTTTGTTTTTCCCACTTCTAGCATGGAGTAGACCTCCTTTCACTTGGGTGTAGTGACACCCTAACTCTACCATGTAGTTTTCTTGTATGTGTTTTGGATGATTGTCATTGGGTATTGTTCAATTCAATGATTAAGGCATTATTTATCATGATTGTGCATGCTTGTGTTTAGCAACCTATGGGTTGTGCATGTTTTGTGCTTAGCATCCTTAGGTGCTTAGAAACCTAAGGATTGTGCATAATTGTGGTTAGCACCCCCTAGGTTTGTGCATTTAGGTGCTAGTAATCTAATTGGCCACCTTAGCCTAGCTTAGAGAGGAAAATCCCACTTTATAGGGAGACTCAATCGAGTTGGTTTTCCTTCCACTTTCTAAGCCAACTAAACTAGGTTAAGTTAGGGCAACCCTCAATGTTGAGTTGAGCAAGTCGATTAATCGTGATTAAGTCGTCCGACCTTAGAGTTGAGTGAGGGAGTAAGTCAATTACCGATTGTCTAAACCGAGAGGGTCGAGTGATACGGCCTTTCATCCTTACCTCGGTTTAGCAATTGAGATTGCGGTCTCCGACCATATATGCATCCCTCTATGGTTCGCGATTATCGTGCCCAAGGGCATCGTTCCAATTCAGACAGCATGGTAGCGGTTAGGGGGAAGCGACACCCGAGTGACTTTCCCACAAAAGATTTTTCAAACCCAATCACCTTTGCTTTCTTTTATTTCAATTAGAAAACCTTTAAACCAAAATTTTGTTGCTAGATAATGATTTCAACAACTGAAGTAGGAGTAGACGGACCGGCCTAGGTCGATATCTAAATACTTGCCATGTACTGCATCCCATTAGATTTTAAAAACTTGGACTCTAATTGGGATTTTATTGTGGTGTAGTTTCGTGCGAGTCAGGTTTCCTACTGAAATCCAGGGGATCAGAGAGTTCGCAGAATTGAAGCGTTTGTTAACATTTCTTCTTTTCTTTTCGCCCATTTGGCAAAGGTAAAAGGACAGAAGGGGTTAATTAGATTGAGGTTTTGCTGACATGGGCTCTCCCCTTTTTACCACCACAATAATTTGCAAGGACAATACCGATGTGTTTTTAATGTTATATCAGATTAAGGGTGGGTTCGATCATAAAACATTCGGATGAGCTCTCAAATTATGTTTATGGGCTCAACGAATTTGCTTACTTACCCACCTAAGGAGGACATAAGGCCTCCAGTTTTAAGGCCCAACTTTCAGGTTTCGAGGGCCCATAGTAAAATATTTGCAGGGTAATATCTTGCTCACTTGTAAAATGTAATCCAACAAAGCCCAATAATAGATATTTTTAACTTGGTTAGTGGTGGGTTATACAATAGTGGTAGATCGCTTCACAATATTGAACAAACATATGTAGATTGAAATTAAAGCATCACAATATTTCAAAAAACAAAAATAACTTGTAATTCCAATAATATACCTGAGAAGATCACTAGAGGCAAATTGTACGCATTATTTTTGTATGTAGTGTCAAACGATAACACATCACCGAAGCATCCAAATTCCAACCTACTTATGCTATGCACCCAAAATAACTTCTCCAGTCTCGAGTCATCACCAACTTTGAACTTCATAAAAACACATTGTCATTGTAGCTTTTACAACTCAAGTAACTCAGTACAGCTGTAGCATCACCGTTGCTGAAGTTTCCTTTTTCGGCACCTATCGACATAGTTATATACGTCTTGCCTCGTATACTCCACATTAGCATACCCACCAGCTGCATTGGATACAACATTCATGATTTGACAGGGCCTCAAACCGCCAGATTTCAAACTTGAGACAAGTTATGCATCTGCTTTAGTCAACACACGGTGTGATCTAAGGTGATGAACTTCATGGTAGGGAGCTAATTGATGACTATGCTCATTTATAAAGCGAGTAACATGCCATCTCATGTCCTTCTTCTTCTTCTTCAAAGTGATAAGCATATAAGCTTCACAACCAAACCTCGTTACTACCCTTAGTTCTATTTTTCTGTCAGTAGTTTTCTTTATTCTGAAACCTGCACCAGAACAAACCCACTTACGCAACATGATTTCTTTCTTTGTATCATACCGAGTATTACTCTTTCTAATTCCAAACCCAATTGCTTTGGAAAATCTCCTATAGAAAGCTTCACCATCCTGCAAACTACCAAAAGTCATTTTGTAGACATCAGTAGCCTCCAAATTTGATAAAATTTTCCATTCTTCTTCCTCAGCATGAATAGATTGTTTGGTTTCTTCTTCATCCACATCATCAACATGAATAGATTGTTCTGTCTCTTCTTCTTCCCAATACTCATTTGTCACAGATTGTGCTATTTCTTCTCCCTCCTCATTCTCACGTGTTGGTTCAACCTCAACTTCTTTTTCCATTACAGTAAAGGCCCCCTCCATGTTTGACCCTACCCTAACTTCGTTGCTGTAAAAATTAAATAAAAAAGGCTGTTAAAGTAAACTACTCCACTGATAATATTAAATCAAAAGTATGGAGGACTAACCTGTCACTTGTCGGTGCATTATTGCTGGTGGGATCCATCTTCCACCTTCAACTTGCATACCGGCAGAGGTAATTTGATTTCAATTAATTTGATAAAACAAGGTACTTCCCGAGGTAGTAAGCGACTAGTTATATCAAGACAAGGTACAGTAAACAGAAAAACTATATATTCTTCTAGTTAAGAGAAACCAAAACAGAACCAGTATATTACATTACATTAACTAACCCTTCAGCCAAAGCACAAATCACTCAACAAAATACCAGAAAAGAAAGGTTCGTAGATTACCTCTACGGATTTTCGGTTCAGGATACGTGAGGAAGCAACAAGGCCGAACTGAATTGAAATGGCAGGGGGAGGACTCAGTCCCAAATCTACCGAATTGTGGAAGGCGCACAATTTCACAATTGAGGAACTTGGTGGTGTAGGGAGCCAGACGAACAATGTCTTCGATCAAAGAATGAGATTGAGAAACCCCAAAAATTGATTGCCAACAGAGGGGATAAGTGAAACAAACTTTAGTTTATGTGAAAGAGACAGTTTAATTTAACATGAGGAGTTTAAGTTAATCAAACTTTAAAAGACTTACTTGCGACTTGGTTCTTTCATGTATCACAAAGCAAAACGATGCGTTTGAAACCTTCTCCCTTGCACTGAATCTGATTGCTACCCTGTTTCCGGCGAAGCCTCGCATGGGAATCACTTGACTGCCGGCGATCTTTAGTTGCCTCTCCCCCAGCTGCTCGGCACGAACTGTAGATAGTGTTATTTGGGCTTAGCATTCCTTTTACCGGGCTATGATGGATTAAAAGAGTACCACAGCTTATCTGGGCGGAATTGAAGTGAGTGACTCGGCCCAATAAAATCCACACGGGCTTAATGAAGACACAGCTCTAGACCCATTACGTTAGCAACCCCATAAACCATGTTTTTGTGCACATATGTACATTTTACATATCAAAATACCTTTTCCTTCGATCTTCAATCCCTTCCTTTACATATCTGTTCTTCTATACAAAAGTAACGAAAGAAGGTTATCTTTGAAAAAAAGCGAAACCAGGTTTCCACCCTAAGTCTTGGTTAATGCTTGTATTAGCATCTGGGTTTGGCAAACACAGGTCGGGAGCATGGCCGCTGGGAAGGGAATCGACAATTCAAATGGGATCGATTCGGCATCAGAATCCATCGAGGCAGGGTTGGTTCGTGGTTGGATCATCTTCTCGGAGTTGCCAAGTCATGGTCGGACTGAGATTGAGCAACGAAGGTGCAAGAAATATTCGATCGATCCTTCCTCTGTTTCGGGCGCTACTCCTTCCGGAGACTTCCCCATCGGATTCACAAGGTCTTGCTCTCTGTTCCATCATGCATGTCGCCATTTCCATGTTTCTCTCCTCCAAGCTCCACCGCAACTCACCAAATCTTACTGCTACCCTATTTCCGGCGAAGCCTCATAGGGAAATCACTCAACTGTCGGCGATCTTTAGTTGCCTCTCCGTTTCCACCGCAACTCAGCGGATCTGACGTTTCCCAGAATTGATCAATCAACGCAAGACTCGTATGGGTGTAGAGGGGGTTGGTCGGTGTGCTACGTCCAGGAGATATCCTGGAAGCCGGGTGGAGACTGAACTGCTGATTGCATAAAATGGACAAGGAAACACGATTTCTTCGAGGAAACAATCGAATCGAATGGAAACACAAGCGAATGTCGAGAAATCGAAGGAATCGACCAACAAAGCAGCCGAATCGAAAAAAAAAGTAGTGAGGCAAGAAGAGGAAAGGATCGAGAAGACTCGAACAATTGAAAAGAAAGTGAGGATTTCTGGGAACGAATCAAGAACATAAATCTATGTTCTCTGATTCCATGTCGAGCGCCTGTGATGGATTAGTGGTCGAGGATGACGATGCCAGTTTCCAGGCACGGGAAACTAATCGTCGCCTGCCACCGGGAAAGTATTGACAGTGGCAGAGGGGAAAAGAAACGGCTAATAGGAGGGTTAAGTGAGGGACTTAATTGTAATTATCATTAAGTATAAATTATTTTAATAAATATAATATAGTTTACTAGATAATAATTAATTATAAATCAATCAAATTAATGTAACCGTTAGATATATCTAACGGTTAAGATGAAACAAAAAGGTGGGTGCGTTCAGTGCACCCAAAAAACTGGGTGCACCAAAGTAGCCACCATATATATATATATATATGGTGCCTTCTACGGTACCCCGGGTGAAATCCGGGGTACCGCATACATTGAGTATGAAAATGCTATCCAGACCTCGAATTAGCAGGATTTTTGGGCATGATACTATACCCTAACTATTAATGAATGAACCCTAGGTCCTAATTATCTAAATCATAATCTATAAACCCTAAGATGGTGCATTGATTTTTTTTTCCTATATTTGGACGAATCATAACCGTCGATTATTGTTTCTAATTAAATTGATCTTGGGATATAAGATTTATAGAATTAAGACCTAGATTTTGATCTTTAAGGGTTAGAGTTTAGTATCATGTCCGAAAGATCAGTCAATTCAAGTTCTGGATAGCGTTTTCTTAATCAAGTTATGCGGTACCCCGAATTTCCTCCTGGGTACCGTAGAACTCCCCATATATATATACACACCAAAATATAAAGTAATGTTTTGAGCAAGTATTTAGTGTGGTTATGCTTATTTTACTTTTGTAAACTCTAACACTCAAGACCATCCAACATTTGTTAGAAAAAAATATTTTCTAATTCATTGTTGCATATGTATTTCCTAATGTACTTCTTGATACGAAAATGGTGATGATTCGTATTATAGTTATTTACTTACCCTCAATTATTATTCTGGTCGCCCTTAGATTGGAGTTCTTTATGAATTTCTCGATTTGAAAATGAATGTTGATCCATATTGTTCATCTCCATTGCAAAATTATCTTAAGTCTATGGCTCATTATTTGTAACATCAATTTGTTTTAATTAATTTTATGACCTCTATTGCATATATTTTCATACTTGTTTCTCAATTCATTAATGGAGATGATCCTTACATAGTCATTCTGATATGATCCCAAATAGCCTCCTCTGCAAGTCGCCATTGATTGTGCAACAAGCTATCTCAAGCTATGGTAAGGTTCCTGAAATTTGGCTAAGTCTTCCTACAGTGTCAGGTAACCATCTTCACAAGCATGGTTCTTCCAAATGGCTCGATGGAAATGGGGTTTTAGTGTCTTGGCTTGAAGCAGGGAAGTTTATGTACGATATGGGATGTTTGGGAGCTCGAGGGGATGCCAGGAAGATCAATTTTAAGGCTTACCAAAACCCTATGGTGAAACCAGAAAACTGCCCAAAATTGTCTAAGGCGGGAATGGTGTTCGAGCAAGCACTTTGGGAGGCTCGTTCGAGAACATCCAGCCAGAGTCGATGCTCAAGGATCTCACCACATGAGAGTGTGTACTTTTTATTACAACGACGTGGGACTGGATGAATCAAGTGATGATTGGAAGGGCTTGATCTCGAGGCTTGAACATGGGATCAAGACAGTTTGTGTGCGGGTGAAGAAAAGGATAAGTTGGAATCTGAGTTCCATTCGGATTAGGTGTAATTGAGTTTCCTTGTTGGTTTAAGCTTCCTCATTAGTTTTGGGTTATTAGTAGTTTGTATTTAAGCTTCTCTATGTATGTTTTTCGGTTTCAGTTGTCAAAGGAATAAAGAATCAAACCCTACATCTTGAGTTTGTCTCTTGTGTTAGGATAAGAGCTTTGGTCGAGAAACCAAGCTCGTATTGAGCATTATATCGACCAAAAATCGCATTGGTCGTGGTCAGGCATCGCTGTACATTCGTTGAGCCTTCCTCCCAAGTGTAGTTTTGCACATCGAATTCCACCAAACCTCTTTCTTCTACTTCGAGTATTTGAGTTCTTGATACAAAGATCATTGTTTGAGAGTTCAAGCTCAGTTTGGAAATCCCGGTTCACAAACAGTGGACAGGACGGAGACGCACGTTGCTGGGACAACGCGCTGGACGCGTTCGAAGGGGTCCATTTCCGACGATCCTGAATCCGTACGTCAGAAACCAGAGGTCGAAGCAACAAAGAGACAGGACATCTTGTTGTCTGCCAACGAGTCGCACGAAGAGTAAGTCAATCCTACTTCGATGGCGGGACAGGCGAATGTGGTTGAGCTTTTGGCTCATATGAGTGCTCTGTTCCAGGCACAGTTTGATAAAATCGAGCAGAGGCTCGACGCTCTGTCATCTGCGACACCAGAGGCTTCTCGGAATACAGACACTCTTCGAAGCAGAGATGCAGAGGCAGAATGGGAACAAGAGAATCGTGAGCTCAGGGCTCGAATTGAGGAGATAGAGCAGCGAATGGTGGTGCACGATCCGGAACAGAGGCGACATAATCGCGGACAACGTGAATTCTTGGGAAGGAACCAGGAAACAGAGCCGGTGATCCCTCCCGGAATCAAGTTCACGATTCCGACTTTCCAAGGAACGAACAACGCTTCCACTTACCTGGATTGGGAGCGCAAAATCACGCCATTATTCCAGTGTGGCGATTATACCGAACTTCAGAAGGTTACCCTCGCAACGTACGAATTCTCTGATTACGCCGCACAATGGTGGGAAAAGGTTCAACTGCGCCGGCGACAAAATCTCCAACCAGAGGTGACTACATGGGCAGAATTGTGGGGTCTTATGCGTGAGCGATTTTTCCCTAGATACTACCAGCGCGAGCTGCATGAGACACTGCAGGGATTGAGACAGGGATCCCACTCTGTCTAAGACTACTTCCGTGAGCTCGAGCTGCTCATGATACAAGCAGATATCAGGGAGGATCGCGAGGCAACCATCGCTCGTTTCCTCCACGGACTAAGTCGAGAAATCCGGCAAGAAGTTGAGCTGTGAGCGTTCGTGGACTTGGAAGAGGTCGTTCATCTAGCGATCAAGGTAGAGCGGCAGCTCGAATTCGCTACGGGAAGACGATTCCCGCCTCCTACCAAGTCGACTTCAGATTTTACTACTTCCCCTGGTGCGACATCATAGCGTGCTGAAGCGGACAAGACCATCTTAAATCGCAAACCACAATCCAAGCACGCTGAGTCCAGCTCCAGCATGCAATGCTTCAAATGTTTTGGTCGTGGACATAAGGCGAATCAATGCCCTAACAAGAAGGCATTCGTACTTCGCGACGGTGAACTTTACTCAAAGGACGACGAGGAAGAGAAGCCTCAGGGCAAACCAGTTGATTCGGATGGGGATGAAATTGACGAAGTAATCCTCGTCACAGATCCTCCGTCAGGCAAGCTCTTGACAGTCAGCAGGAGGGCTCTCACCGCCGAGGCTTCACCGGACTCCAACCAGCGAGAGAATTTATTTCACTCACGATGCTTGATTGCAGGGAAGTTGCTATCTTTGATCGTCGACGGAGGCAGTTGTGTCAACGTGATCAGCCGAGAGGCAGTGACCAAGCTGGGATTGCCAACAACGCGGCACCCTGAACCATACAATCTCCCCTGGTTGAATGACTATGGAGCAGTCCGCGTGACGAAGAAGGCCAAGGTTCGTTTCGAAATCGGAGGCTATCACGACGAGGTTGATTTTGATGTAGCCCCGATGCAGGCGGCGCACATATTGCTAGGAAGACCCTGGCAGTTCGACCGCAACGTCTGTCACTACGGTGGCACGAACCAATACAAGGTTCGACACAACGACAAGAAATATCTGCTGGAACCGTTGACGCCGGGCGAAGTTCGGGAAGACAGGAGGCAATTAGAGCTCAGTCGACGGCAATTGAAGGGAAAATCGGATGCGGCGCACTCCGAGGAGCCAGCAGAAAGCAATGGAGTGGCTCGAAGACTGATGCTGACTGGATACAAGCGGCTTAAATTGTAACATCCCGTTACGGCAAAACCCATATTTCGATCGCTAGAAAAGTTCGCGATTTAAAATCGAGCGTTTTGATTGTATTTCGTCGAAAATCGGATTATCAATCGATCGGATAAGTATACGTATTAATTATATATATACTAGTGTGGGCCCCGGCCAGTTGGCCGGAGGAAGGTAGGATGGCAATGGATCGGGTTTGGTCGGGTTTTGCCAAATTCAAATCCAAATTCATGGGTTTATCCGTGAAAAAAATTCGGGGTAAAATCCACTGGGTTTGAAAAACTCAAACCCAACTCAACCCCCTGGGTATCCGCGGGTTCATGGGTACCCACAGGTTTTTGTCTTAAAAAATTTACAATAACAAGTTGCTATCAAAATTAAAGTCAAATATCAATCTCTCAATACAAATTATCCATATATAAAATACCATTCTAGAAAATTCAAGCAAATAACAAATTAACCATAAATAACATGATTAATTGAAAGCTTCTTCCTTTCAATTAAGTTTCTTCACTCTCCGCTCGATAACATCAAATTCATTCTAGACAATTAGAAAGAAAAAATTAGACATGTCTCCACAAACATAAATAAGATAAGTTGTTTAGAATATTAAATATATCGAGAAAATTAATTATATGGGTGTGGGCGGGTACCCATGGGTCGGGTTTACCTAAACCCAAACCCAACCCAACCCGATGAATATTGAACGGGTTTAAACCCAAACCCGGCCCAAAACCCGTCAACACGGATTTTACCCGCGTTGACCGAGTTGGGTAGGGTGGGTACCCGTGGGTTCGGATTTTGTTTTCATCCCTAGAGGAAGGTGAGGTATGAAATTTGATAATGTAATGGGGTGTATAACTTATTGTTGTATAGTTTTTTTGGGAAACACGTGATAAAAATAGTGAATTTTAGCAGGAAAGAGACATTAATGATGCAACAAATCAAAAATCGGCCTTATGAACCAAAATCAAGTACCTGTTACCTTGTGAAACAATATTGTTTTTGGTAATATGATGAGGTGGAGTAAGTTTTATAGAAACTGAATTCCAGAAAATCGAATAAAAAATCGCATATCCCGTCGGTTTTCGGGAAATGAGCATCTCACAATCGTTGCTAGCTTTTACTCGGCCCGTTGGCCGATT